GGGGGGGGGGGGGGGGGGGGAGAGGAGGAGAGGAATGAGAAGGGGAGAGTGGGGAAGGTTGTTGGCAAGCCTGCAGCCCTGCCAGAATGTTGTACTGCTCTGGTTCTCCTGAGGCATACCAATAATCACCAGACAAGGCTCAACCTGTGTGTGTTCCAGTCAACATTGCTAGTACTTAATCATTCGAGTAAAATTACAATCTTCCATGTCTTCACTGCCCACTAGCAGGCAAGAGTTTATTAATGGGGGTAGATTACATTTCCTGCCAGCTTTCCTCAATTCAATCCAGTCACTTCTATGAGAAGAATAATTGTGACATTGTCCTGTAGTTAAACCAATTGCTAAACATACCATAAGACTCCGTGGCAGTGGGTCTGCTCAGATGTCTGAAGTAATTACCGTACACTGGTTTTTGTTGCTACTGCACAGTCTGGGCTATCACAGTATTTTCTTGCTGTAGATGTGTCTTGTACAATTATATTATAAAGAGTAACTTAAAAAAATCAGGGATGTTCTAGGACACACACCTCACTGTTCCTAGCTCAGAACTTCAGGAGCTGACAGATTAGCAGGGTTAATACTAGCATGGCTAGCCCCCAACTTCCTTTCCCCCCACCCTCTGTGGATGTGTGTTCCTACAGAGGCTTCCTGCCCCTCCAGGTAGATCCTGGATCTTACCACACCATTGTGCTCCAGCTCTCAGTACCACTACTAGGTATGGCTCCCATGCAATAGATTTCAGATCCGGGTAAAGGTAAGATTCCCTTTTTAAACATTTTTAAGAGCCCTGAGGAAGACCACCCCCATCTTTCAAGATTAGAAGAGAGACAGGAAGTATTTACAAAAGCACTTCATGGTATTACCAATCCTCGATGCTACTTTAAATTAACAGTACTGAGTAGCAAAGTCTATTGTGCCTGACCAGACATCCTGATATTAGGGGCTTTGTATTATATAGGCAACTATATTCCCCGCCTCCCAGAAAAGGTACCCCAATTTTTCACACTTGCTATCTGGTCATCCTAATTGTGCATCTAAGTCTACTATGCTTGTGTCCCCCAACCTTTCAGATTCAGGTTAAGCAAAAAATCCTAGAAGAAAACAAAATATATTTTTGATGATTCCATCAAAGCTACGGAACTAATTTCCTTCAAGCTTGGCTTTAGTGAACTCTAAGGAGCAAGCAAAGTTTGAACATAGTGGTGTCTGCTGTTGTGAGTATATTTCAGAACAGTAGTTCGCAAGCAGATTTACATGTACCCCTCATCTAGAGATAGTTTTACAACAGGTTACATAAAAAGCACTAATGAAGTCAGTACAAACTAAAATTTTATACAGACAGTGACTTGTTTTATACTGCTCCAGATACTATACACTGAAATACAAGTACAATATTTATATTCCAATTGATTTACTTTATAATTACACCTCTACCCCGATATAACGCTGTCCTCGGGAGCCAAAAAAATCTTACTGCGTTATAGGTGAAACCGCGTTATATCGAACTTGCTTTGATCCACCGGAGAGAGCAGCCCCACCCACCCAGAGTACTGCTTTACCACGTTATATCCGAATTCGTGTTATATCGAGTCGCGTTATATCAGGGTAGAGGTGTATATGGTAAAAATGAGAAAGGAAGCAATTTGTCAATAATCGTGTGCTGTGACACTTCTGTATTTTTATGTCTGATTTTGTAAGCAAGTAGTTTTTAAGTGAGATGAAACTTGGGGTACACATCAGATCCTGAAAGCGGTGCAGTAGCCTGGAAAGGCTGAGAACCACTGCTTCAGAACGCATTAGGAAATCATTTTATTTTCCACAGAAGTAAAAAAAAAATTAGTTTTACTGAGAAATTCCCAGAAGTTTGCCTAAAAGCTGAGCACAAGCAGAGCAAGTTTCAGAATTTGAGGAAGTCAGAAAATGAACAGGGTCTTGCAATGGAAACACCACTTCAACCAAACATCACAGTACAGTGGGTAGTTCTGATCCCACTAAATGTATCTGATTCCACTTAAACAGAAAATAAGCAATGCACGCCCCAGACCAGGAGCAGCTGTCTGCAGCAAACAATGCTGTTACCAGATTACACTGCAAAACTAATAAAAAAAAAAGAGTGGCCATTTCCTAACCCCCCACCATTCCCCGCAAAATCATACACACACACACAGCCTCTTGTCTTCACAGGCAAAGGCCCAGGTTTGCTCCTAAACTACATTCTCCACATGATAGTTACATGTTTTGCCTCCTTGCTACCATGCCAACCCTTGTTTTTACTCCTCACAAAGCACACAAAAACAGACCACTGAAGTTTTATGTAAAGTTGGGCTGGCTGGAACCAATATATTTGCATAATAAAACCTTAACAGCTGGTTTGCCAGTCTCCATCTGGAATCCTGCCCAACAGAAATGAACAACCCCTGAAAAGCCAAACCAGGGGGATTTTTAAAGGCAGATGTAAATTAACCCAGCGTAACCAAGCCATGGGGAGCATAAACATCTCCCACACTTACACCAGAACGAAGCACAAATTTGCTGAAGGACATAATCAGTGCTGGACAGAAGCCCTAAAAGCAATAGCTTCAGCTTGCTTTGGGTTTCCAATTAACTCTTTAGTACAAAAACAAATAACCAAATCCAATTCCCTCAGCTATAATATGAAGAATTTTACCCATCCATTAGCAGAAGCATTTCTGCTTGCACCTAGGATGATCATTTTATCTTACTGGTGTCGTTAGTGGTTGATGTTGACCATAACACTGTGCTGGGGTGGAGTATACTCCTAGTGCCAAAGGATTAAGCTGCTGTTCTGGCTTCCATCAGCGCTTCTGCGTAGTATGTTTATGAAGGAAACTGAAACCAACCTTTGTGTTTGCTGCAATCCAATTGGAAGTTTCACTGTCATCATCACACTTCTTAATCCACTTCTTTAACCACTGTTTAGAAAGTGAAAAAATAGAATCCATAGACTTTATACAGTTTAAACCTTTCTAGCACAGACATTACAATAAGCTAACACTAAGCATTTAACATAAAAGGAGAGCTGCAAAGGTACACCTGAATGACATTGTTTGCCAAGCAGGGTGGAGTGAGCTTTAACTTGACAATTCCTTTTGTGGCAGAAAATTTGTCTGCCAGAATCACTAGTTAAACCCTAGAAAAGAGTAAATTAAATTAAATAAATAAATATTAGTAAGTATATAAGTATTATAGGACCATAGATATACCAGAATGCCATCTTCTAGGGACTGTCTTACTTGTGAGTCCAGAACAACAAGAAGTTTTTGGAAGGCAAGCCCTGGATGTAACTTGCTTCTGTGCAGGCTCTGCCCCGAATACCAACATGGTCCAGTTAGTAGAAGCGCACAGACTAAACTAACAAGTCTCAGTTTCCCTTTGCTAGTCTACCAGCTAAGAAAAGCAAGGAAAGAGTACTAACACTATTTTTTTTGCTCTTTCACATTAGCTGTGATATTCTGGCAGGCTGTACAACAGGGTTGCTTTTCTTCTCTAATGATAATGTGTATTACCCCGATTTGCTATGTTGGGTCTCTGGGGATTTTCAAGCGCTAAATTCCATTGCCTAGCAGTGTTCAAACATTTCTCTGCATAAACTCAAAGATGCAAAGCCTCCACAGGATAAGTCTCCTACGATGTCCTAGCTAGTTTTATGTCATGAGAGAATTACATATTATTCCCTCCTGTAAATTGTTTTTTGTATTAAAGCTGCTGCAAGTGTTGCATTTGAGATGCACATTGGGTCTATTTGGAAAGCCTGCACAACCTTTACTTTCACCTACTTCCCTACATTTCTAGAGGAACAGTGCCAAGCCAATGATTTAAATCACTGAAGAAAAAATGGGACTTCTTATACCTTGCAGATCAGGAACTGATTGAACCTCTCATGGAAATGAAAACTTAGCTACAACCGCCCCCACCCTTTACTGCCCCAATGGTAGCTAACTGCACTCATTCTTACATTTAAGATCTTAGATTGTATTCTCTTTAGGGCATGGAACATGTCTTCCTGTTTGTTTGCACAGTGCCTAACCCACGGGGGTCCCACAATCTTGATTAGGGCCTCTGGGTGCTACTGTATTAAAATAATCATCCATCTTTTCCACAGATCTTCCTAGGTGGCAGGGGCACCTGAAATCAGGACCACTGAGGTTAAATATTAAAACCAGAAGCAATCTATGAGGTTACTAAGGTATTAAAGCACTCACAGGAGTGCTGTGAGAATAGGAATACTCCTTGTAGAGTGAAGCGTTTATTCCTGAGGTCACCCATCTCTACTGATATAACATTTTCCTACAACAACAAAATCTTCCACATAGCTGCACTAAAACGCTTTTTTCATGAAGGCAACGCAGAGTTGTGATGGTAAAGACTACTAGCAGACTTCAGGTGCTGCTTGTCACTTCCTTCATATGAAGAGGCAGAAGCCTACAGTGCCCCTTGGTATGAGCATAGGCATAGTTAGACTTCTCAGCTCCAGTCAGGCTAATGGGGCCACGCATGGGTGGGCAAATTCTGCACCTGCCCGAGGCTTGCAGTTTGGGAGCAACGCCCCGCTTACACCCGCCCAAACTAAGCTCATGGGTGCGAGTGGTTATTGTAAGGCAGCTATGGGCTCGTACCTAGACACTGTAAATACACACAGTACCATGCTACTTTGCCAGGGATCCTGCAAGCAGTTTGACTTTAGCCCTTTAATTCTGCAAAGCCATGGGTTCAGCGAGGAAGTTGGACATGCTCACCTTGCACTTAACAGGATCATGCCAATTTTCACCGCAGTTAAAGCTGTACGTGAAAAAGAGAATTAATTCACAGAAGTTTAGCTATCACACTATGCTTGTAATTAAATCATAACTCCATTAAACTTACTCTTACAGTAGTTTTTGTCTTTTGGGTTACTCCACTGAAAGGGTCTGGGCACCAGATCTTGCTGAAGGCCATTACTGTAAGTGTGTTTCAGTTAAATTAAAACAACGAGGAGTCCGGTGGCACCTTAAAGACTAACAGATTTATTTGGGCATAAGCTTTCGTGGGTAAAAAAACCTACTTCCTGTGGGTTTTTAACTCATGAAAGCTTATGCCCAAATAAATCTGTTAGTCTTTAAGGTGCCACCGGACTCCTCGTTGTTTCTGTGGATACAGACTAACCCAGCTATCCCTCTCAGTTAAACTAGAATCCCATGCCCCCTGATGGGTGCATGACACACTTTAGTTTTCCCAAATGGGCTCAGTTACTAACATTAGATCTGAAATGGATTAGTTTTCCATCCAGAAGTATAAGGCTGCCTTGTAAAATAAAACAGACATCTGGGCTCTTAATAAAAAGCATAATGCTGAACATGGAAACTTCATCTATGCATGGCCCTTCAAATGGCTAGAGGAGTAGAAAAACAGACCCCTTAATTTATAGGGAGTTTCCATGTCTAACTGTTTTCAGACTTTTTTCCCCAAAAGTGTTTCCTCTACTGAACAACATCTGTTTGAATGAGGTTAACTGCCCTAACAGTTTGCAGACTTCCATGTAATTCAGGTCTCAGGCAAAGTTCCTTCCCAACACATTTCAAGAGCATTTAAAAACTTGTTTCTTGGCTTTTGGCTACAGCTGTTGATTCTCTCATTGAAAGTGGAAAGATGTAATTAGGGAGAAAGCCCCTTTTAAAAGCACTTTATGCACAATATAAATAATAATCCTTTGCTGTAGGTGCCTCGCATATGAGGCACTCTCCCACTTGGCAAACTGATTAATTCAGCCTTAACCTGCCTGTGAACATGAACTAGCTTCACTTTAGATGGGATACCAAGGTAGAGAGAGGATGACTGAATTTTCAAAGGCCATTGAGTGAGTAATGGGACTGACTTGATTCTCAGTCCTAGGTGTTACCCACAAGATGACCCTACACTGTCAACATGTTAATTTTGCCATTTCTAAAATGAAATTCCAGGCATTTATCAATACATTTCCCAGCTTTAGCTTTTAATTTCATATATGCCCATCACCAAGTGCTCTCAGAATTATTCAGTTAATGAGGGAACTGACTTAAGCAGCTTCAGTTTGCTGAACATGACTCCCATTCCTTCGTCAAGTGAATCAATTGAGGGAGAGGAGCCAAGGGATTTGGAATTGCCCCAGAAATTTCTCTACGAGAGAGATTTCTCCCTGTCAGCTGCTAGACATTTTCACTTGAAAGACATTTTATTTTCTAATTAGGAAGATGGGCAAGAACATTTTCAACTGAACCAAAAGAAAGATGAACCACAAAACTAATCTTTGCTTTTAAAACCTCTCCCCTTCTTCCAAATGGTTACTAAGCTCTCCCAGCTTATTGGCTCCTCTGGCACTTAAACAATTTCTCAACAAGATTATACAGTATCTAACTCTTAACTTTTGAATGGAAGCTCTGAATTAATTCACAAGAGTGTTCTTACCAAAACTGACGTCCACATTTGCAGCGAACAGGTTTAGCATCAGGATACTGAACTTTAACAACATGGTGGCAGTCTGGGGCAGGACACCATTTTAACAGTCGATTACACTAGAAAATAAAATGAGAAAACATGGCACGAAGAACTACCCAGAAAAGGACACTCACCCTAACAAATCTTCCTTTCCCCCTGCATCCCACTGTCCCAGTATTCTTTAACCTTAAGAGTCTTTGGGTATGTTTACATTGCAATAAAAAAGCCACAGCTGGCCGATCCCAGCTGACTTGAGCACACGGACTTCAGCTGCAGGGCTGTTTAACTGCAGCGTAGACTTCCAGCCTGAACCCAAGTCAGCTGGCATGGGCCAGCCATGGGTGTCTAACTGCAATGTAGACATACCCTTCCTGTCTTATACGCCTATCCACAGTGGCCTCACGTGTCTGCTTATTCTACATGTTCACACTATCCCCACAGAACAAGTGACTGAATAAATCAGTCAATTACTTCACTGTTGCATCTTCTTTCTGAACAAGCAGTAGTGTGAACAGTTACTGCTGTCCCACTTTTATCTCCTGTATTCTGAATGCATCTACTAGGCCACCTGGAAGATACTTTTCATGAAGAAAGTGTAAAATGTTTAAGCTTTCCTTTGGGGAAGTATTGGTCAAACTAATATTGAGCAGTTTGGCCCATCTCCCAACCTCTGTGCTGCAGTGATACTCTTTTAATGAAACACTGTTTACCTACAGCTGTGTCCAGGAACTCACCTTTACAAGCCATTCACATTCTCAATCCCTCTGGTAACACATCCCACTGCTTTGTTTGCATTTTTACTGCAGCCACCAATGGACTTCTAGGACTTCTAACCATTATAAACCCTTGTGGATTGTAACAACTGTGCATCTCCAATGCTACATTAGTGCAATGTCAAGACCACCGATTTAAACAAGAGTCAAGAAGTTATTGTTTGACTGCAACCTTAACTTTCTCAAGCTATTTCTGATTACTGAACAGGCTATTTACAGTATACTTGAATATTTGTAACACAGGTACAGTGAGGGAGTTAATACAATGAAAATTTCCCAACTTGCATCTTTAAATCTTAGTTCCTGTATCTAGGTTTATTCATTTATTTAATTGTTAGTTATGGAGCCAGTAGTTAACAGAACACTGACATGTTTTATTCAAAGCAGTTATACATCGACATGTCTTACAGACTGGCACTTGGGGTACCCTTTACACTTGAATGCTTCGTGTGTCCTGGTTTTGAGGCTGAAAAAAGCTTACCCAAATACAGTGATTACCACACTGGAAAGACAAGGACCATTAAATCCTTCTCAGGACTTATGTAACACCTACTGCGTTTTGCTCATCTACTTTGACAGTAATTTTCTAAATTTCTAAGTAATGTTCCACTGTGTCTCCCCCTCACCCAGTACATAGTTTTCTGGGTCATGTGTCTTCTTGGTACACTGGGTTTAATATTTTCCCCATAATTGCGCATAGACTAAATGGCTTAAACACACTTGCTGCAAGAGCGCTACCTTGTTACAACTGATTAGATCATCTCCTGTACCGAAGTCTATAGCCATTAAACTTGGGCAGCTCTTCATTTTCTGCTGACTTGCAGCATATTGCCATAAAAGAGTCAATGCAAGCTCAGCCTTCAATGGCAAATGCTTGCCCATTTCAAGAAAGCGTTAACATAGCAAAAGGAAAAATGTTGACTACTAGCTCTCACATGCATATATCCTATCACAATTTAGAAATCTACATTGTCCCCCAGCACAAGAGCATCCGGCCTAATTAAAACAAAAGGTTGTTAACAATGAGCCTTTAGACTTAAACAGAAGCAAGCACCCATCCCGCAGCACCAACCACTGAGTCATAATTCAATCAAAAATGTGTTCAACACACCACTATAAATGGAAATATTCAAAGCTGGGTAACAAAGGGGTCTCACTGTTTCTGTGTAGAAGAATAAAAAGGATTAGAACAGAATTATTTCTTTCATTAAAGAATTTCAAATAAAAAAACTCACCTCTACAAAACTATTAGTTATTAAATGCTGGTACTTTAATTTAACCTTTGAATCTGTGATCAGACGCCTATGGAAAGGAGAGAAATGCAGAAACATTCATTGTAGTAGAAAACTCATTTATTTACGCAGTCAACAACTAAAGAGGAGACAGTGTAAGAATGTGGTTGCTTTCCCATATGCTTGCAGTTACACAAACATGTATCAGGATCCACAGTCCAGGAACACTTACCTGTTTCCTACTTGTGTAACATTACAACACAATACAAACACTTTGAACCTTACAGCTTTCATTTTGGATTCTTAATACAGAAGCACAAATGAAAGTTGTACAGTTCAAACAAGACTGTTTTGAGGAGTGTAAGCTACATTTTTCTAAGGCTTTCTTGAAGAGTCCAGGAAGTACAGTAAACAATTTTGCTAATTTCTATTCATGTCAGATTTGCATGTTTTCTATAAACTGCTTTCAAAGGCTCCAAACAGCACTCGCTGCACTACTGACCAGCACCAGGTATGCCCAAATGTTATTTGGATTTCAACTGAATGTTAATGGCCATCAGCTTAAATGTTAATGGGATATTGCTGATATAGTCATATACAGAAAGGTAATAAGTTAAATTTGCAATATCAGCAAGATACATGGTCTTCTGGACAGTGGCAAAATAAAAAAATCTCACTTTAAGTTAATCATTTCAATTGTTTCAGGGGAGTTTGGGAGCACTTTCAGTTATATTTATTGATCCAATCTGCATGATTCTGGGTTTTATAATTATGTTGTGTATATACGGAGTTTAGGACTGGTGCATTGTAAATAACGACATTAAATTATGTATTACTGGAAACACTCACACAAACAAGACTTTAGGACTGTCAATTAATCGCAGTTAACTCAAGCAATTAATGCAAAACAAATTAACTAGATAAGTAGAGCAAATATTTATAATCAAAAATATGAAGTGACCACTGTACACTTTGTATTCTGTGTTGTAACTGAAGTCAATATATTTGAAAATGTAGAAAAGCATCCAAAATATTTATGATACATTTAAATCAGTATTCTTTAACAGTGCAATTAAAACTGCAATTAATTGCAACTCTTTTTTTAAAAATCTCACAATTGCCTTTTTTTTGTTTGACAGCCCTAAAGCCTTCATGTGTATAAGGCAGCACACTTATAACTGCTTGAGGACTATGACTGAGTTTCCTTTTGAGTATTTAAAATCTCAACCTATGAAGTTGAAATGATTTACACTTTGCACAAGTTATTGTTAAAAATAATCACTTTGTAATCACACGCTGGAATAAACACTAAAAAGCTTTTACTACATACATGCACACTAATCTGTTTATATCCGGAGGACCACTTAGAAATAAGTAAATACTGAAACTAGCACACAGTAATAAATATTATAGTACCTAGCTCTTATGTAGGACTTTTCACCCATAGATGTGTGTTCATTTCATGGTGTAATGAAATGAGCTTTCACATAACTCATAATAATAAAGATTGAAATGAACCTGCATTGAATCGTACAGCATTTCAGACTAACTCTAGCACATACAAGTATTGAGAGTTTTTGACCTAATGAAAAACACAGAATTGTGCATACGCAGAATGGGATTTTCAAATTTGTAAGTATTTCTGAACTAAAATGTCTTCAAACATGTCAAAAACTTATCATTGAGGACCAAGTCCATGGCTAATTTACCAGTTTTTAAATGAAGCCATTTGTTATCTGAGAATACAATGAATTTTAATTTAACTCATAATATACATGTATGGAACTTTACTAAGAAGTTCACCTCTGGGATGAGAATAGGAATGATAAATTTCAGCCCCAAGTTTTCCAAAAGCTGCACATAACCAAAGACAAAATTTAGGATGCAAGAGCCACCCCAAATGTAACTAGAATACAGCTAGTGTGGCACTAGAATCCCTTATGTGTGTTGTTTACCAAACTAGGCAAATAAGCCACTTTCACAATTGCACCCTGCTCCTATCTGTTGTATTGGAAAGCGTCACTTTAAAGTGACAACTGCATTTCTATAGTGCTATTCACCTGAGGATCACAAATTCCTGTAAGGTGGTGGTGGGTTATTTAACAGACAAGGAAACTGAGACAAACAGGGTAAGTGACTTGCCCAAGGTCACAAATCAATAGTCATTTGGAATAAAACCCATCTCTTTCCAATTCCCAGCCCCCAAGCACTAGCCAACTAGCCATGCTTCCTTCTTCCTTCATTAACAAACTAAGTTGCACATACAGACTGACCTCACTGAAGGAATCAAGCAGGAGAAGCAGCTGCTTGACAATTTGTTATCCACTAACGTCTACTGGCAACAAAAGGACAGGAAATAAATGCTATATACTGGGGAAATGTTTTTACAATAGCTCCATTAAACTTCACCTTAAGTGGTCCTTTAACTTTGTGGTAGTTTTCTTTACCAGTTTATAAGGTTTACAACATTACCGCACTACCAAATTTCTTGCTGTCTAAGGAATTTAAGACCTAGAGCAGTTGAAATATAGCATGATGCATATGCTATGGAAAGAAGTAGCCAATTTGGATCATAGCACCCTACATTGAAAACTCAACTGGTGCTGTCTGCTCAGTAGTGGCCTCCTGACCACCACTAGTGACTGCAGACATTGTGGGGATAAAAATAAGGCACTAATGCTGGAGAGTAAGCACTTCTGACTTGCTGCATCCTCCCCTCTTTTACAGAGTTCCTCAACACTGTCCTTTCAATTTTGTCTGAACTTTCTTAGCACTAGGCCAAATGGGAACGAGACATACTGTTGTACCATAGATGTCACCAGAAGTTGTAGAGAAGCTGAGAAGGAAGATTCTAGCCAGTTGCTACTGGACTGCAGAGGCTACATGACAGCAGCAGCCATTTGGCACCAGTAATAAAGGCAGCTTGCTGTGCTTATTAATGAAAGCAACAACACGGCATGTAGGTTAAAGCAATTACCAGCAGCATTAGATAGGGTGAGAAAGGGACAGAACAGATTACCTTTAGCTGGTTTGAAGGTCTTGAAAGATTTAAGACAACCTTCTTCCTTCTCCCCCACAAGATCAATAGCTATAAAAGCCATAGGAAGCATAACTGACAAGAATATAGCTACACAGTGATGGCGCTGGGAAAGTCTATCTTCACTGCTGAAACTGGCCTGCTCACAGGTATAGCAGCAGAGAGAGCCCACTGCTTCATAGGCTGGGGAAGATGGAACTGAGACTGTGCTTTCTCTGCTTTAATGGTGGTTAAAGAAGCCCCGAAAAGTGTTTCTTTTAAATATGCCTTTTTTTTTCCTTTTCCTTTTTTTAAAACAGAAATAGAAATTCAGGTCCTGTGTAGTCTGGAAGGCTAAGGCTGGAGAGCTAGAGGAAAGGTGACATCACATGAGCTAAGAATGAAAGTTGGTAGGGAAGGGCTTTTTAGTCAGACTATTAAAAACAACATCCTTCACACTTTCACTTAAGGTGTTAGGGCTCATACACCTCCGAGACTTTCCAGAGGTTCTTCTGCAAGATTAGGGAAGAAGGAAATAGGAATTTAAAATCCAAGTGCTTGTTCAGAGAAGAATAATTCCTGGGTGGAACTAGAGAGACATAGCTCCACTGCTGCAAGCGCCTAGTGTAGATACATGCCTCTAGCCAAGTCTCATTTTGCACTGTTGTAGTCTAAGTCACACTGGTGGGTAAGTTTGGATTCCAGAAATACAAGATCCCTACAAATAAAGTCTACTTAAAAAGTGGGATCTAAAATACTGTGCAAAAACTAAAATTAAGTTTCACTGCAACACAACAATGTGCCTCACTCCACCCCACACTGGCTAACATAAAAGGGTAATTGAATCTCACGACCCAGGGTGTAATTAATACAATTCCCTACGAAGGGGTCAGAAAGGCATCTCTCACAACAGCCTATGTGGGACGGGCAGCACTGCAGAGCTGGCCAAACGCATTACAGGAGTGGTCTTCTGAAGCTTCAGGTATTTTTCACTGCCCAAGGCAGAATACAGGACTTGATGGACCAGCGTGTTGACCTGCTGTAGAAAGTTCTATATTCCTAGTCAGATGAGATGAAACTAACAACTGTACAGGCAATTAACTGGGGGTTTGGTGATAGCGTGCAAGTGCATTTATTCTATTTGTAAGTTTAATAAGTGTGGCGGGGAGTCTTCCTTCTAGCACAGAGCTGAGAATCGGTACACCAACACAGGGCAGTTCCTTGAACATCAATCTCTTTACACGGAGCTTCAAATGAGCCATTTCATACATACAACATTTACTGGAGGGGGAAAATGGAAAAACATTAACAGAGGACGGGTAACATGATGCCACCCTTCAACTGTGGTACTTACATAACTGTATTGTCGTCAACTAAGATATCACAGCCATGAGCAGGGCACGAAATAGTCTGAAAAAGGAAAAACGGATCAAGTAAGGTCTTGGAATGTTTTTTGTGCCCCTTTATCCTCATCAGCAACCCCACAGGATTTTATTGCAAGCTAGCCATATTGGCTCAACAAAATCAGAACTCCAGATACATACCTCCTTGAACAGCATGACCATGTTCAACCAGGGATGAGATGCTTAGACAGAGTCCATACAGTTCCCTATGAAACCCACATGCACTCTGTAGATGAAGAAGTCAACCTCCAAGATTTGTTTATTCATTTTTGTTAGAAAAGACCTCTGCCTCCATCCCATCCTTCCCTCTTCCCCAACACAAGACCAGCAGAAGTCACGTAAATCCAATATTTACCTGTCCCATGCCTTCCTCCATTATTTTGGTAGTTAAATATTCACTCCAGCACTGCATACAGAACTTATGTCCACACTCTAGGCCAGTAAAGTACTGCAACAATAAAGACATGTGACACTGTATCCATTCCGTCCTTCCTGGAGCTGTGCAGCTTTGCTTATTCATCTCTTACTTGCAGTACAGAATCTGACTGTTCCAACAATACCGTATTGTTTACTTTGCATCACACCACCACATTGTTACAGCAGCTTTAAATGTGCACTCAATGTAGCTGCAGTCTGCATCCCTAACAGCAGCAGGAAAAATGGAGATGTAGGATTTACCCCTCCGTCCTCAAATACTTCTAAGTTGTCCTTCATTTTAGGTTATGTCTACACAGAGCCAGGAGTGTGATTCCCAGCTTGAGCAGACATACTCATGCTAGCTCTCATTGAGCTAGTGTGCTAAAAATAGTACTGTAGCCATGGTAGCAAAAGCAGCAGCACAGATTAGCCCCCATCGAGTATAAACCTGCCTGGACTCCAGGGGTATGTTCTTGAGGAAGCTAGACCATGCCTCCAATGCTAATGCTACCACAGCTACACTACTATTTTCAGCATGCTAGCTCAAGAGGAGCTAGTGTGAGTATGTCTACTCGAACTGGGAATCACACCCCACCTCTAGCTAGATGTAGCTTTTGACTCATGCACCCGGTATGAGAGACCTTTTTTCCTATCTTTATTATTGTAAGTAAGGCTGCTATTTCTGTCACAGAGGTTGTGGAAGTCATGGATTCTGTGATTTTGGCGACCTCCATTACTTTTGCAGCTACAGTGGCTGGGGCAGCTGACCTCAGGGCCGCCAGAGTAGCTACTTGGGTGCCCCGGGGCCAGCTGCACCGGCAGCCCCGGGAGAAGCCAGCCCCAGGGAGCACCCGAGCAGCGGTCCCAGGAGCAGCCCTGGGGGCCAGCCACACTGGCCACTGCTCAGGCGGCCACAGAGCCCCCAAGCAGTGGTCTCAGGGGCAGCCTGGAGTCATCCGCACTAGCCGCTGCTCAGGTGGCCCCGGGGAACACCCGAGCAGCAGTCCTGGGGGTGGCTGGCCCTGAGGAGGCCCCGAGCAGCAGTCCTGGAGGCCTTGGAGCAACAAGTTGCCTGGGGGCAGTCAGCCCCCGCAGCCAGTGCAGGGGCTAGCCATCAGCCTCCAGGGCCCCAGGAGCTGCTAAGTTTTAGTCAGAGGTATTTATGTAGTAGAAGTCAGGGACAGATCACAAGCCGTGAATGTTTATTGCCCATGACCTGTTCATGACTTACTTAAATACCCATGACTAAATCTTAGCCTTCACTAACAAATGCTGCATCAGGAACTAGGGTTAGAGTTAAAACGATACCCACGGTTTTGTTTCCTGCACTCACATCCCTCCACTTGGAGATCACACTCTGTCACTCACAGTTCCACAATGATTACCAACCACATTCTGCCTGAGGCAGCTAAGATACTGCCGACGCAGGTAGAAGCAGCAAAGAAAAAAAGAGGGAATCGGATGGGTTATGGGACTAACATTGAGTAACAGGAGTTTACAGCACTAGGTCTATGTGACCTGACGCCTACAGTTAACTTTTTGAGAGGGGTAGCCGTGTTAGTCTGCATCAATAAAAACAACGAGGAGTCCTTGTGGCACCTTAGAGACTAACAAATTTATTTGGGCATAAGCTTTTATGGGCTATAACCCACTTCATCCGATGCATGGAATGAAAAAAGTTAACTTTGAGTATGTCAACTTGCTTGGTACTCTTTAGCCCCTTTGGAATCCAGATGTTCATCTGATCAGAAGGCAGAAGAACCTATTGTTAGAAATAAGTTACCAACTGAGATTTGATACAATGTTTATCATGCAGACAGTGACCCAGCAAGAACAACTTTGACTTTGTGTGCATTATCCTCTACACAAAGTGTGCCAAAACACCTTTTGGGACTCAAGTGGTTAGGTGGGGGAGGCGGGGTGGAAAAAAGAACTAAAGAGCAATAAATAGGACCGCTAGAGAAGAGTAATTTTGAAGTGATGGTACTACATAAATGAGACTCAGACAGGACAATTATGTTTCAAATCATAGGGAAAAAAAATCTCCCGCACTGCCACTGTGCAAGTTCTAATTGAACCCTCATTTTATATTCTGCCTGTAAAGCACCATACACTTGCATAAGGCTATACAGATAACAGGGTGTCTCCTGGACAGCAGGATGATACAATAGAAGGAAGATTGTGTCAATTAAAAGACCTTCAACTTGAAAAAAAATCACTTTTTCAGAAAAAGTATTGTTACGAACATTCACGATTACAAGTTTTACATTTCTTTACTTTGGGCATCTGACACTGGAGTATAATTAGTTTACACTTCCTTCACTAGCATGACCACCCTACTCAGGTACCGCTCTGGGGGGCACTCATCTACACACTCTTCTCAAGGCCCTGCTAGAGGGTCCCTTGGCCTCCACTAGAGCTGTCTAGATTAGTAGTTCTGCCTGGAGTCATTCTCAGGTCCACTCCTCCTTCTCCTCTATTAACCTAGACAGCTCAAGTGCAGGCCAAGGGACATCTACACAGGGCTTTGCCTTTAAGTGGAAGCTTCCTGTGGGAGAAGACCTTAATCTTCTGTCAGCACTCTGTTATCAATGATGCAGGCAGCTATAGGGCCATAATCTCCACGTGGGAGAAGACCTGGTTCAATTTTAAATTATTATTTGAACATCCCATTCAAGATGACATCTGAGGCTCTGCAAACATTCCTGTGCTCAAACAATACTCCCCTGGAGATGGAGCTTCAGTCAAATGGAAAGGTATTTTTTTTTTTTGAGGTTTCGAGAAGTCTCTGGCACATTTGGGTGGAACTCTGAGACTACAGATTTGAAGATTGCACTGGTTTACTCCAGATCTATGGTTATCATGGCACAGAAGGCTCATCTGTATGGGGTGGGGTTTCACAGCCTAAAACTATCATTAACAAGGATATCCTTTAACTATCCTTATACAAGCAACTATACCAAAGGAAACAACATCCCCAGAAAAGAGAAAAGAAAAATGTGTGTCCTTAGTGCAAGACTGATTTTGATGGCTTCCAGCAAGTAAGCTAGCAGCTCCCTATTTCATTGTCAGTCACTGCCTCCTCCCAAGCTGTACAGAACAACTGCTTCTCTATCTAGCCATTTCTTTACTTTGAGGAACTTCCCTTCTTGCCAGTCAGCTTCAGGCAAACTGAGAAGAACCAATAAAGCTGTCTCCTCCACACACCCCCGGCAATTGTGACAGCTGATAAGTAACAATTCTGTTCCAAAAATGGTATATCATGGGCAGACATTACCTTACTTTCACCTTACCTTTCTATACTGATGAAATTCTAATGACCTCATCTGGGGGGCCAGGAACAGAGTCATTTTCCTGCTTTTTGCATATTCCTATTTGCAAGAACTCTAGCATCGGTATTTTACTACCTTTTGATATCAGTGTCTGCTCTTTTGTAAGCAATAACTGAGCAAACACAGCAAGGACTCTGCTGATCCAAGACTGACATTTTCGAGAGCAGCTCCACTCAAAACATTATTCTTCTTTAGTAAATAGCTCAGTGAAAGGTACCAGTGACAGATCCACAGAAGCCATCTATATATCCACAGAACAAGTGCACCACATGGACTACAGAACAAACTTCCCAGAAACACTACCCTGTTAATGCTCCCATCAAACCTGACCTGAAGGGACATTGGGGCAGGAGGCAGGACGAAGTTCTGTTTACCTAGCCCTCTCAATTCTTGTCCTCATCTCTAAGACTGCCAACAAGGGGTCACAGTGTGATTACTGTCTGACACCAATCCATTAGGAACCAAACAGATCAACAAGTTTCACTTAGGCCATCAAACTGGAACTGCTGGATTCAGACTTGTGACATAGCAGCAAAAGGCTCTTCTCCAACAGGTATTCCCCACCATTCTCAAAACGTGTGTCATGGTGGCCACCATTCTGCCAGTAGAAGTTGGGATTCAATCAAAACCTCTCCTGAACAGGCCAGATAGGTTACTATAAAGGAACACAAAATCTACACTCCCACTAGTCAGAGAAGGCAGAGCGTGATGCCATCTGCAATCTCTGCATAAGTTATCTCTTGTGAATTTCTAGCGTTTTTTAAAATTTAAAACCTCTGAAATCCCCAGCATTCTAAAAGCAGGAAGGAACTCTTAGCAAAACTGCAGTGTTTTGGATCACCTGGGAAATAAATCAAAGCTGTTCTAAATTAAGTAGGTAAAGATTCTGGGATTTTTAGGTTAAATGTTCACTTTTTAAAAATCTCTCTTTATATTTTATATATATATATATATATATACACACACACACATACACACACACACACACACACCATAGACTCAGTAGAAGTAGGAAACGGACCTACAAG